TTGACATATTTGGGACATTGTCTGTTGAGAGTTGCAATTAGAACATCTTATGGTTTCAAAGGGGCTTTTGAAAATAGCTGCGAACTTGTCAAAAAGAAACGTTCTAGGAATGTCCAATGGTGGAATAGGGAACTGGACATTTTGCGCAAAAAAGCCCGCCCAGCGGGAACTGGGCATTTACCTTAACGGTTTACAATAAGGAATTGAGGAAATTAAAGAGGGAATCATGGAGGAGGCACTGCGAGGAGATTGAATCTTCTCTCGGCTGCGAGACTCCAGAAATCTCTAAACAAAGATCATCAAAACCTCTCTATACTAAAGAAGGCTGACGGAAGACACTCATTTTCCAGGCTGTGTCATGTAAATTGAGACTACGGGAACCATCGACGATACTCGTTTCTTGTTGGTCACGTTGGATAGTGTTTTAAGCTTGATGAACGATTCAGCAGTTTTGGTCTTAGTTAATATTAGTAGATTTCCATCTGTTGTAAATTTAGTAAATTGTCTATTTGATTTACCTATTACTCTAAGGTTTTTGATAAAAGAAAAATGTTATTGTGCTTAGAGCATGGTTTGCCTTCACACTTTTTATCAAAATAAATTGCGGATTTTCGTTATTTCTTTTGCTTGCTCAGGACAGTGACGAAAATTTGTTATTTTCGGTTAATGCTCATGGTATCATGTATTTTTTTTTTACAAATAATGACAGGTGTGGAGTTAAAAATAGTATATAACCATACTCGAATTTGGAACCACAAAAAAATATCATTATTGAAATGAAACCCGTGATGGAATTCACGACACTAGACGTGAACACAGATTCGGTGAATATGGAATCTGAAGATGAAACTTTACGAGAATATTGTGGCATCTCGGATTTACGATAAAATTAAGAAATTTAGTCTTAACATTTACAACAATAAACGAAAGGCTTGCTAAAATCCATATTAAATTTTTTCACATCACCCTAATTTGTGCACATGTCCAGATGGAAGATAGAGATGGCATCAAGGAAACTTTCTATGAACAGCTTGGACAAATATATGAACGCTGACCAAATCATGACATAATCGCTGTAGCAGACTTCAACGAAAAGGTGATTAAAGAAGGTATCTTTGGTGCTACTGTCAGAAAGTTCAGTCTTCACACAAAAACTTCTGATAATAGAAGGCTGATTGATTTCGCCGCGGCTAGAGACATTGTGGTTAGTAGTACCAGATTCCAGCATCTCAACATACATAAGGCAACATGGCTGTTACCTGATCAAAACACAAGATCTCAAGTTGATCACGTTGTGATAGACGAAAGGCATGCTTCCAGTGTGTTGGATGTACGTACTATCCGAGGAGCCAACATCGACTCGGATCATTATCTTATTTCAGCCAAGATTCACACACGTGCAATGAAAAAGGTACGTGAACAAGCATAGCGAAAACTAGAAGTCAAAAAGCTACAGTAACAACAAACAGCTAATGACTTCGCTACTCGACTCTCCCAATATCTAGAAAATGAATTTGAAGAAACCATCTGCTACCGCTGCAGAAGAGGTGATTGGCTACCACCGTAGACAAAGAAACAGCTGATACGACCAAGAGTGTCGCACACTATCGCAGTGAAAGATGCAGCATATCAAGTCACCCTGCGGTCGGTAGGGACACGCGCCGATAAAGAACGATATCGGCAAAAGAGAAGGGAAGAGAAACGTCATTTCAGGCAGAAAAAGAAAGAAGCAGGACGGAAGTACAAGAGATTGAGAAACTGGACGACAGGAATATGATTCGAAAATATAAACCAAAAAATCAAATGGTTATAAACCCGAAGTTAATTCCTTCAAAGATCAAAATAGTAATCGGGTGATAGATATCCACAGCATGGTTAACATTTGGAGGGATCACTTCTCGAACCTACTAAATGGTGATTGTAGAGATGTGACTTAAAGTGATGATCTCGATTTCACAATCGTTGACGATGAAGTAATCGTCCCGCCTATCCATAATAATAAAGTTAAAACGGTTAAAACGCTGGTGGTGAAGAGCTATTAAAATGCATACTACAGCTTATTCGCAACATATCGTCGGATGAATGCATGCCCAATAATTGGAATTTAAGTGTGCTTTGCCCTATCCACAAAAAAGGTGATCATGCAAACTGCGCCAACTATTGCGGGTTCAGTCTTTTAAATATTGTATATAAGATTCTGCCAAACGTCAACCAACTGATTGAACCTTATCATTGTGGCTTACCACCAGCTCCGTTAGAATCAGGAAGTGTGGTTTGATACCAAACGAGATTTGATACCAAAGCTGTTTTTTAGACCGTTTTTCAACTGTGAGATGTCTATTAATGTATACATTAGTGCCTCTTAATTTCGTTACAGAGGATAAGATCAATCTAGACTGCGATTCCGATCGAAGTGTTGCTATGAAAACTCCTTTACCAGGCAGTTTCTTTACAGTGCACACAGATACATTTGCTTTCAGGATATTGTTGTTTGTGGAGTTTCTCTTTAGCAGACATAACTATATTACACGATGTTTTTAACACTAATATTAACGTAATCTGCGTATTTCTTCTTTGAGCGAAGTATTTTCTTACTTTAATGAGTTGATTTCTTCTTTCAATAGTTCCAGAACGTCTTTCTGAGCAAGGTTCTGGAGTTTGTTGTCCAGAATACTTGCTAAACGCTCGTCAAAAACGGCACAAGAAAAACTGATGGTGAATTATTGCTTGTATTCGACAAAGCTTTTTTTTTGACGAAGTTTATAGAAGTGCAACACAAAAACATCCACACAGCAGTTAAGCAATTATTAAGCAATAATTAAATTTAAATTTTACAAAAATTAAATAAAATAAGTACAGTGTACTTTTGAGCGTTTCTGTTTGTTCTTGTAGTCGTAGCACTAACTAACTATTTTAAATACAATTTAACACTGCTGTTATAGTTTCTATAATTAAGTTTATATATTACCTTTTAATGTTTATTTATTATGTAAATATTTTAGCGCCTTTGCACTTTTTGGTGCTTCAGTGACCGCAATTTATAAATCAAAGTAATGAAATGTTTTTTTCAGGCTAATTGGTCAAATCAATTTTTTTTGTTTTTGTATTATAAACATTTGTATTATATAAAAAACATTGCATTTTTCTTTACATACATTTACATATATATAAATATATATACATACATTTATGCTCTACTTAACCACTATTTATTAATAAGTTGATTAGTATTTAAATATAATGTTTATGTTATGATGATGACTTTAGACTAAAGTCGAAATATCGAAAAATAAAAATTATTTCAAAATTAAATAGTAATTTCTTTTTTTTTTTAATTTTTTTTATTTATATTTTTAACAATATAAAAAAAAAGATTTGACCAATTAGCCTGAAAAAACACTTCATTAAAATTGTTTGGTCACACACACACAAATAATTAATATTTAAATCAAAGTAATATAAATTTATACACAAATGTTAAATTAAATTTCACTTTCTTTAACTCGCAATAGTTAAATATCAACTGACCGATTTATATAAAATACTATCTGTATTTCAATCAATGTTACTTATAATCAATGTTACTTATATCTTACAATATATTTTTTAAAATTTTAGTTGATTCAACTTACATTTACAGGTTGAATGAGTGCTGAATTGCTCAAGTGTGATGGAAGAGTTAATGATTTCCGTGCTGGTGAGTTACTTGTGATATCAATGTTATTTTTCGACGGTGCTGATTGTTTTGTTGGGTTTTGGTATTGCATTTTATGAGTTTGTTGTTGAGGATTGACTAGAACGTCGCGAGGAGTGGAATTAACGGTTATCGTCTTTGTTACACCACTTGGATGTGCAGTCACATGTTGCAAAATTGCATTTGATCCAGTTACCAGTTGTTGTTCAGATATAGCAGTGACATGACCAACACCCAAACCCAATACATTATTAGAATTGTTTTGATTAGATAAATTTTGGTTAGGATACAAGTCTATTTGGAGAGCAGTATCATTGCAATTTTTATCGACCTACATACATAATAAGTGTTAAATTTATATTTGTAGAAAATTTTTACATAAATTACTTTATCTTTTGTATTAACTGGTTCTGTTGAAATTTGTGGTGTCTCAAATTCATTTCTCCTTCGTGCCTGCAAATATATTCAAAAGAAACAATGTATTCTCATTTTTATGCATTAATAAACATACATAATCTCCTCCACTTGCATTTGAAGCTGCTACTGTCATTTGTGTAATATTCTGTTGAATGTATTCATTTTTTAATTGAGTTGGCTGATTAACTTGATTAGTATTAGCGCCACTTGTATCAATTTTTTCCCAATCATATGGATCAGACTCCTTCACACCACGTCTTTTCATACATCTTTCGAACAATCCAATTAACATCTTTAAACGATAAACAAGAACACAAATTTAAAATTCAAATAAATATAATTTATTTTGACAAATTATAAAAATACATACAGCGTAATCTGGTTTATCAGCATACGTTAATGATTGAATATGCTCAAGAAACTGTTTCAAATCCGACGGCAAGTGTTTTAGTAATATTCTATGATCGTATTTTTCTTTAGTTAAGCCAACTTGTTCTTTATCTTTAATTTTTCGCCAAGGTAATTGCCCATTCACAAATTCAACTAACATGTAGAAGAGCGACCATAAATCATCGTGCCTTCCCATTTCACGGTTACGATGGGCATTAATTGATGCATATCGTACAGTACCACGAAAACCTGCAGCAGCACGCGGACAGCGTACTTCGCCCGTTCCAGTGGTATACTGACGGGCTAATCCGAAATCCAACATATATACACGACGACAGTTATAAGGTAGCCGGCCAATAGAAAAATTACTCTAAATAAAAGTATATTAAATACATATTTTATAAACACTTATGTTAAACTTACTGGTTTTATATCACGATGTAAAAAACCGACTGAATGTATTGATTCAATTGCTTTCAGTATCTGTAAACCAAGCCTTAACGTTGTGCTTAATGAAAAAGCACCTCGAGGCTGTGCTCTACGTAATTCTGCTAAATTTTTACCTTGCAATTGCATAACAACATAATTAAACCGGTCATTTCTACCACAACCTATAAATCGACAAACATGCTCCTTTCCTTGCAATTTTTTTAATACCGCTACTTCCATTTTAAGTACTTGTTTTGGCTGTCGGGCTGATTCTACTTTAAGGGCCACTTGTTCTCGAGTTATTAGATCTTGCCCTTCATATATTTCACCAAATCCCCCACCGCCAATTTTTCGTATCACCTGTATGATATAAAAAAATGCTTTAAAAAAAACATAAATATTTTTTATAAAAACAACTTTCCTTCCAACGCTCCTTAACAACATGACCCGGTTGTAACAAGTCCTCCGAAGTCATTTTAAGATTTATACTCAGTTTATCTGGGTTACAATTGTTAATGTCTACGTTAGTGCTTTTTTCCGATAGTGGTTGCGCTGCTAGAATCGGAATTTTAAAAGTGACACGATTTCTAATACCTAAACGATTATTTTTAGCCGGTAATGTAGCTGACCGTTGCAGTGCATGAGGGTATCGTTTCTTTTCTGATATGTCACAATTGACTGGTATTAAATTTGCTATTTGTTGTTTGGTTTCACAACATATTTTTATTGATGGTGGCGGCTTTGACGGAGGGTGCAATCGTAAGAACGGCTTTTGATGTAATCCATAAGCTTCTCGCTTATTATTCTCATTTGAGCATTGCTTTGACGAAAATTGGTTCGATGCTGAACATAATGCATTTTCATCATTTCTAAAAAACCATAAGCATATAAAACATCACTATTACTCTACAATCTTTTGAATATAAAGCTAATATTTATCTACTCGAACACAAAATTACTTTTAATTGCTAATGGGGAAAACAATTAACACATATTTCCTCAAGGCTTAACTAATAAAATAGAAATTCGTTAACTATGTAAAAACTCTTGTTCGAATTCATTGCGAATCCCATAACTTCAATACACAAAACCCCACAAAGTATTCATAGTTAATTCGCTCAAAAGAAAATATTAGTTCAAAAATTAGTAATACGTGCACACTTAACAGCAAGATGATGTTAAGTCCTTAGACTTTCAATCTCTTAATCAATCACTCAAGAAAATTTTCCTAAAATTATTTTGTAAAATTAAAAATATTTTTCGAAATTGTATATAAATAGAATAACCTCCTTGCTTGAGAATACTCAAAACTTTAAACTCATTCTTTTCGAAAACATTTTATTCGATTTAGTAAACATTATTGCACTAATCTAAAAATTTTTCACAAATTGTCCAAACTGTCAATCGCCAAATTATCACGTATTGTATTAATATTCAACTAGAAGGTGTATGCGTTAAAGAACAGCAATCTTGTCGTTTTATTTGGAATTTTAACATACGTATGTGAGATGACAGCAAAGGCTGGTAAGATTACTAACCACCATTTTTATTGGGTCTTTGTCTTCCCGAGTAAAAATACAACGCTGCCAAATTCCAATTAATGACGATCATTGAAAATCGAATAATAATAAATGCCACCTAATTGTTAATAAAAACATGTTATATAACTAGATTTATCACTTTCAAAACATGCGATTTTATTTAAATTTCATCAAAATGAAACACTGAACATACTCAACAAAAATATAAAATTGATCTCAACGGTATCAAAAGCTGTTTTCGATATTTGACATATTTGCATATATATTACATAGATTTGAATGGATATAATTTGCCTGGTTCAATTTATATAATTGATTACAATTATAAATTTAAATTTTAAAAATATGTAATTGTTGACTTTTATTTTATATGGTATATTGCGTCTACTTTTTCTAAAAATAATAATATATGAAGTAAGCTAAGTTTAAGAAAAATAAGTAAAAGACGCGATCTTAATATCATTATCATTCTAATGGCGTTTTGCTTCCCTAGTTCTGGTGTCGTGTCTGGAATGAATTTAACTATGAATTCCAATAATGAATTCCAATTATCATCTATTTAACTTTCACTGATGCGTTTTGAAATGCTTACTTGACGCTTTCTTATTCCACCTCATTGTAACAGTGCATTAACTACTATTACAATTGCATCAGAAGTTGAAGTTATCTGGAAGTTGAAAACTTCAGCGAAGCGTAAAATGCTGTTTAGTTTAGATCCTCTATAGTTTTTGTAGTAGTTCATTTATCACTACGTTCCAGAGGAGAGGAGATAGTACACCCTCTTGTTGAGTACCTCTATTTACCCGTATGTGTGCTGTTGATGGACGTATATTTGCCTCAATAATATTGGTAGTAGTGTCAGTTGCTGAGCAACAGGAAGTGCTGAAACCATAGATTTTCCCTTAGTGTAGGCGTGTTGCGTTGGAGACCAAATATTGAGATTAATATCGCGGTTTATTTCAATATTAATTACTCTTTCAAGAGTTTTCAATATAAAAGATGAGAAGCTAGTTGGGAGGAGTTTATTGTGGCTATTATGTAAGTTTTTATCTGTCTTAGGAATAAAAACAAGTCTAACCTCCACCCATTAGATTGGAACATGATTAAAAGACAATGTCCAAAAATAGCCAAGAGGTAGTCATATATTTTCTCCCAGGAGTTTTAGAGCTCAATTGAATGTATGTTACCCGGTTCTGGCGATTTGTGGGGCTTGATACTGAAAATAGCCCATTTGAATGTGTGTAAGTTTAATTTCCTGAAGTGAGCCGGTGCGAAACTTAAGTGCTCAAAGGATGCAGCTGCCGAAGCAGAGGATCCCAGAAAGAGAGTATCTAGTAGTAATTCTAGCGATTCACTACTATTAATAAACAAAATCGGAACTAATTTTTTAAGTAACTCAGGTACATATGAGTTCTTAGATAGGATTTTGTGCAGTCTGGAGATTTTTCAAAAAATTCTCCCATTAAAATATTATTATAGACCTGCTTGATATTCATCTTTGCTGCTATATATAAATAATTGAATAGCGGTCGAACTTGGTGCTAACACTTAAACAATGTACGTATATATAATTATATTCATATTTGTTTAAATTCTTTTAGGGTTTTTTTTGTTTTGTTTTGTTTTGAAATATGAAATGAAAATAATTTTTGACAATAAAAAGAAAACATTTTTTAGTAATTTTTTAATTCATTTTTATATTACAATCATTGAAAATTAAGGGACATAATATTTATTTATCTTTAATTTGTCGCGACTAAACAATTTACACTAATATCTTCTGTGCTTTTTTATGTTAATTTTTCGGTTAATTTTCGTCAAAATAAATAAGTTTTTCATAGTAAAACGCTTAGCCCATGATTTCTCTTTGTCAAGTATTATTATATTCTCAAAATCTGGATTATAGTATTTATCCGTACAATGCTAAGACAGAGCTGTAGTTTGTTTTTATTTTGTTGACGTCCGAAATGTGCTCAGCTACTCTCTAACTCTCTAATTCTTTTTGTAGTACCATATATGTAGTATATCTCTACATTATTCTGGTGCATCTTAGACAGCAATCAAGCCGTCTTAATATTTGAAAAAATTTTATTTTATACTGTCTTCTATATGCTGTCTTCTTTAAGTGTGTAGTTAGATTTTTTTCGTTTTATAATCTAAATATGTAGGATACCTAACATTTTTTTTTAGCGATATGATTGTTGTTTTCATATATTTATTTGTTTCTGTTGTCTTATTAAGTTATGTTATTATGTTTTTTATTAAACTTCTTTGGGAAATTTTTCTTTTTGAGAATATTAAATTTTTTATTACCATTTTTCATTACCATTCGATGTATATACATATGTCTTATATATGTTGATAATGAGCTGCTATACTTCAAGCAGTATTCCCATAGAGCTGGCGTTAAGTTGATATTTTTTCGGCTGCATCACTAGCCGAATTTTTTGTGAAAAGTGTAAGGCAGATAAAATAAAACCATACGAAGTAAAGGTAGTTATTTAGTATGTAGTTATTTTTTTAAAATATTACCCAATTCTATCTCACTAAAAAGGTTCAGCAGAGCAATGAACTTATGTCCTTAGAGAACGTCTAACATTGTGATACAAAGCAATAGGCAAATATAAAACTGTATATGTTATAAAGAAACCTAATAATTCACGTTACTTTAAAAATTAAATCCTACCTGCAAAGTATTTTTCAAAACCAATAGCTTTGATGGCAAAAGAAATTAGGATTATAACTTTATTTATTCAATGAAGAAATGACTCAACAAATTCTGTTTGATTTGAACGGAACCCCATAAGAATGTCAATCGAACATAATATCTGTTTGTAAATACGGGATGAATTACTTAGCCTCTCTACCTAGGAATTCTCAGAATATTTAAAGCATATTATCTGTAAAATATAATTCACAAACAATTATCAGCAGTCGAAAGAGTAAAACCGTTTAAGAATTAAAAAAATCTACTATTTTTCTGACAGTTCATTATAAAAAAACGGGCAAACCAATTTGTATATGAAAGTTCACTTTTTATACATTTCTAATTCTTTTTTATAATCAAAAAGCTATTTTTTAATGCAAATTTGATAAGAAATCCGAGAGTATAAAGGATACCAAGAGGAGGTTATCAAATTCATACATGAATTGGAGGATTTTAAATCTTCACATCAATATAAAAATTTCCTGACTTTCGATAAAAATATATCCTGTTTTGGTTTACTAACCCATTAGGAAAGAAGAGCAATTTAGATTAAAAATAATTCGTTTAGTGAAGGAGAAGAACATGATGCAACCAAGGAAACCGTTTATACAATGGATATTTTGAACACGATGAATAATTTTATATATAGTTTGACTCAAAGTATTCATAAATTATAAATATTCATTGCTTATATTTTATTAATTTATACATTGTAAGTTCACAACAATATATGGATGTGCATATAATCGTAATTGTACATTTTTAAGTAGTTTAAATAGTTGTCTAAATGTGCTGTTAACGTAATAGTCCCAGATCTATGAATAATCCGTCAGATTGTACAGACGTACAATCAAAAAAAGTTTCATGAACGCATTTATCTGTGAAAGGCTGTAGTAGACATTTGTGTATAAGGATATTCATGAGCACTCCACAAGGAAATCAACTATCCCTCCTTGAGGACTAATCACAATTATGCACAATTTTACGAATTGATCAGATAAAAGCAAGAGTTGTATTGTGAAGGGATGGCGTAATATGTATAGTAATAGCTAGGAAGTACAGTACAATGTAATTCCAGTGCACAGCTATATTTCGAACAATATGAATCTGTTATTTTATAATAATATAAGTTCCATTGTAATAACTGAATTCCAATCATATACATCATTCCATATTTGATAAAAATTCGATACATGTTTAACATCTTTTTATTAAACTTCATTTGTTAATTCTTATATCTAACTTCTATCTGTATAGTGTTGGAATTATTAATGCTATAATAGGATTATAGTATGATAATTTAATTAGTTCAAGCGAATAAGGCTGCATATATTAGCATACACTGGAGCTATAGGTATATAAAATCAGGTCTTATTAGTGCACTTAAAATAATGTTTCAATTATTGTCCCCCGACTTACTTAATAAGCAAATTTTGCTATTCACACTCTCACAGTACGATATTAATAAGCAGGCAAAATTCATAGCAGCTAGAACCTATAGCAAAGAAGATATTCTCTGACCTATAGTATCATAAATTATACCATCAATACACTTAGCTAGCACATAGCACACTTTCTCAGCGACATGATAATCTGAAGAGCAAAAATTAATATAATAGAA